AAGCGGCAGCGGCAGCGTCCACATCCGACCCCTCCTCCTTATTTTGCTCTTCCTTGACAATCCCCTGGTCTGGTTGTCCCTTCGGTATGTTAGTTTCTTTGGGCGTGAACTCGTTTAAAAGTTCATCTAGGTTGTCCGAGTTAGCGGCTGTGCTCTTCTTGGCGATCTTTTTATCCTTCTTGGGCGCCATATCAGCTGGTCTGAAAGGTGGTGACTGTAATCACTGGTGTAGACGATAGATACGCTGAAATAAAAAGGCCTGAAAATGTAGAATTTAATAAAAACAAAGTGTTAATATGGCCCTAGAGGTATAAGTACACTGTGGTGTGTCAATACAAACGCACGTAAGTACGATACAATATTGGTATGGTACTGGTACGATACTGGTACGATGTCTTATGTGTAGTATACGTGTTTTCACTGATTGGCTTAGAGGTAGCAACTAGTTTGTGACCAAAAGAAAATAAATCCACTTTGGAAGTAGTCTATTCCGTCAGCTCTTTCCCTTTAGCTTCCTTCGCTCTACACTACTGAAATGTTATGAGCTCAAGTACAATCTTGATGGCGTATCAGCCAGGGTGGCCATTGATAAACTCAACGGCGTCAACTACGCCACGTGGAGCCTTTACATGCGTGGTGTGTTCCCCACCAAGGTAGTATGGCATGTCGTATACCGTGGAGTCTACCCAACGTTTGCAGTTGTGTGCATCGAACGAATACATGAGAACGAGTAACATCGCGTTCGGATTGATGCTTCTGCACATTAATGCAAACTATTACCATGTTGTTGACGAGTGTGAAGAAGGCTGGGCTTCATGGACCCGTATCAAGACGCAATACGGCGGGTGGCCAAATCTACCTGAAGAGCCGACTCTTTAGCATGAAAATGGCCGAAGGAGGGAACGATTCACATCACTGCAACGATGCCTCAACATCAGCGCGAAGCATCGGCGCCAAAATGGAGGATGAGGATGTTGTAATCTGCCTACTACGCAGCTTACCCAAGAGCTACGGAAATGTTGTACTGAATTTGGAGATCAGCAACACGTAGATCAGAGCACAAGATGTGGTGAAGGTACTGACGAACGAGCATATCAAGAGCCAAAGCTCGACGGCTAATGTGATCAAGGCGGAAGAAAAAGCAAAGACGTTTTGCGCACAGCGTGAGCCTCGCCAATGCACGTACTGCGGGAAAAGGGCATACGACGGAGCGGTGCTGGACCAAGCACAAAGATGACAACCGAGGTGCTCGACGCGGCGGCCACGCTCGTGGACACGGAGACAATAACGTTCATTATCGACCTAACGAAGAATATGAGTATGACCACGTTGCGTTTGCGGTCTCATTGGAACGTACAGGAAAGGGGACAAGGCAATCGACAGCGGTGCAACGCATCATATATGCAACGACAAAGACAAATTTTGTTTTGCTCAACGAATGTAAAGAAGGTGAGCAATCGGTAGCCGAAGGTAACAAAGCCGAAATCAGGAGTGTGGGAACCAACATTGAGCGTGTTGTTCTGCCTGAAAGTGAGGAGCAAGACATTACGATCAAGGGAGTGCCATACGTACCGAAGATGAACAAGTACTTGTTCTCAATGCCAAAATTTAACAAGAGTGGTAGATTTAAGGTGGTGCTTGGCGGCTCGCGGATGCACACCGCGTGCAAAATCTCGCAGCAAGTTTAGCAACTGCTGATCTCGTTCAAGGGCTCTATTGGCTTCGAACTCCACAATTTTCTGCAAATTAAGTAGCGCCAACACGCAGCATCGATCTACATGCAAGAACGGGACATACCCCAGATGATGTATTACGCAGGATGATTAACAGCGGTATGATCAAGGAGGGAAAGATGCCTCCAAGACCAAGCTCTCAAAGCATATGTCGTGGGTGTCAACAAGGCAAGATGGTCCAAAAACCATTTCCGAGCAACAATGACAAACGCCGGCATGATACGTTTGAGCTTCTCCTATCTGACATTTGCGGTCCCATGGAGCAAACCGTTTGGGTGGTAGCAGATACTTACTCCTCATTGTCGACGGATCAAGTGGGTGCATGAAAGGATTCTGCTTGAGCGCCAAGTGTGAGTCAGAAGATTGCATTACAAGCTACAATTTTCAGGTACAAACTCAGTCAATTAAACAAGTCAAATTTGTACGACACGACTGAGTTCGGGAATTCGCAGCACATTCACTCAAGACATAGTAATCAAGATATCAGGCGACGATGTACGTTCCCTTATGCACATCAAAGTAATGGTACAGCGGAGCGCGCTATCTAAACGATTGTTACCATCGGATGCAGCATGTTGTTTCACGCCAAACTGGACAAACGTTTTTGGGGTGAAGCAGCAATGACGGCTATTTACATCGAGAACCGACTTCCATCACCCAGGATCAGCTACAAAACTCCGCGTGAAAATGTTTACAAGACTAAATTAAGCGCAAAGCACATGCGTATCTATGGCTGCAGGACGTTTGCCCTGATCCCAAAAGAGATGATCATGCGGTAAGTAGATATTGTATTCATTTGCATCTCGTTACAGCCTTTTGCAAGATAACTGAGCCAGCACGACAAATAACGATAATAAAGATTCTCGGACAGGTCAATTATAATGGAGAAGAAATTTTTTGGCAGTAAATTACGGCTCGTACAATTTTCTTCAGCAATGGCTACAGTGGTTGGTGATGTGTTTTGAAGCTTCTGTGCGGAAGTGCGAGATATTTCGCAGAATGGAGTTCATTGTTATCATTGTTGGAGTTTGCTACAAGCACTTCGGTTTATTCATCCACTGGATTTACACCATTTTTTTATGAATGATGGTATCAACCTTGACTCGCTAAGCATTGGGGATGAAGGCGTACTCTATCCAAAGAATTTAAATTTTAAAGGAAAACGCAAGAAGCTTTTGTACACAAGGGACACAAGCCAACACATTACATCAGGCCGAAGTAATCAATTTGGACTTGAAGAAGCAAGTGCGTCTGAAGATATGAACGAGCGATACATTAAGCGTCGGCCGGTTTGAATGTTACACTCACACAATTGAAGATGAGACAATGCCTTCTGTGTTCTGGCGGGCTAGTAGCAACACGGTTGAAGTCGGTGACCTTTCGGAAACAACAACATACCAAGATGCTGTCAGCGGACCGGACCAAATTCATTGGCGCATGGCGGTTCGTACGGGACTGGATTCAATGAAACTTCGTGGTGTGTTTTGTGCTGCCAAGCTTCCAACTGGACAGCAAGCTATTGAAACCTAGTGGGTATATAAAAGTAAGCGCAAAGCAGACGGATCGACCGAAAAATACCAGGTACGCTTTGACGCAAAAGTCTTTTAACAGAAATATGGCATCAACTACACCGAGACTTTTTCGCCCGTTGTCAAGTATGTTACGCTACGAATGGTGGTAAGCTTAACAAGACGATTTAACTGGCCGCTTGATCAGATGGATTTTGTAACGGCCTTTCTCAATGGATTCATGAAAAATTTCGTTTATATACCAGAAGGGGTGGTGATTGATGGTGATTTTGATTGCTTGCGCTAGTCAAGGCAATTTACGGACTCAAACAAGCTTCTTGCGTAAGAGATGAAACGTTTGACACTTTGTATGCTTGATTGGGTTTAAGTCACAGCATTTTATCCGTGCCGATACATCAAGCGCGCGGATGGCCAATGTGTTCTTTTGCTTGTTTACGTCGACGATGTCCTGGTCACTGGTAGCTCGCTTGAACTGATTCTTCGATCTATAAATGATCTCAAGGCTCGATTTAGATGACAGATAGCAGCAAGTGTGATTATTTTTTTGGCATTAAAGTCGTGGATAACGTCGACGGCAGTGTAACATTATTTTCAGCGCCGCTACATTGAAGACATCTCAAGCACTTCGGCATTAAGGACTGCGAAGCTGTGGTGAGTCCAACGGATTTGATCACTCAACTTACTCCATGCAACCACCAGGATTGAAGCACCATTTCGCGAAGCTGTGGGTGCTCTTATGCACTTGGTGACAGGGACACGCTCGGATATTGCGTTTGCTGTGGATCACGTTTCATGCTTCATGGGAAACCCGCAAGCTAAACATTAGATTGCGGTTAAGAAGGTCATTTGCAATCTACAAGGGACTGAGTCGTTTGGTATTTGTTTTAGCCCGGCAACAAGGTTGACATTTATGGATATTCGGATGCAGACTGGGCTGGCGATCATGCCGATCGCAAGTCGACTTTCAGCTGCGCTTTTACGATAATGGGCGCTCCAATAAGCTGGGGTAGTATAGAGCAATCAGACGTATCTTTGTCGACAAGCGAATTGGAATACATCGCTTTGCATCTGGCTGTTCAAGAAGTCGAATGGGTCTATCGTTTACTATGAGAGATTCTAGCAGCGGATAGCCAGCAAGGACCAGAGCTCATGCTTTTTGTAGGTAATCAGTCGTGCATCAAGATGGCAAAAAACCCTGCCAAGCATGGCCGTGTCAAGCATATTGACATCAAGTACCACCACATTCGTGATGAGGTCAAACGTGGTGAAGTAAAGCTCAAGTATTGCGAGAGGTCGACTATGCTGGTCGACATTATGATAAAGACGCTGTCAGGACCACGACACAAGGATTTAACGACGGCATTCGGCATCATCACACGTTCGCATTGAGAAGAAGTATCGAGAATAACAAGTACACTGTGGTGTGTGTTTGTCCGAGCGCACGTAAGTACGATACGATACTAGTATGATACTGATCTCATGTGTATGTGTTCATTGATTGGTCTAGAGGTAGCGACTGGTTTGTGAACTAAGTATCAAAAAAGATTCACTTCGGAATTCCTTTCTACCACTCAAATCTCATCGGTCAGATCTATCCCTTCAGGTTAGTTCTATCCCTTCAGCTTCCTTCGCTCTAAACTACCAAAAAGAGGCAAAGGTCGCCATTAAACCTACTTCCATTTCCCTAATATTTTGAAACTTTCGCAGTGAACTCTGCTGCTGCGGTTGCACCGCACAAGCAGAAGTAGGCCTTGTGCTAGTGTTTTATTAAGTTCGCTGCTTATCACGATCGCTAAGGCAGAGATTTGATCGAATTCAGTCACAAGACACGCAGTGACTTGATTTAACAAGACGCATTTCATATGGTCACCTCGTCATGGGTCGACATTTTTTGTAGTGTGCATTGTATACTGCCGGAACATCAGTCTATATCTTGAAATTCTCACTAGGAGCTTAGACTTGCAACAGCTAGAATAAATCCGAGTCGACTAGATCGAGAACATCTGTTATCAATGTGCCGATAAGCGCTGTACCTTACCCTTAAAAAAGTGCGTCCGTTCGGAAAGCTACGACCATTGGTCTTGTGGCTATATTCATTTGTGACATTTGAGGTGCTACGTGGGAACCATCAAACTTCTTCGCTGCGGCGGGTGATCCGTGACTGGCGCGGATACAGCGAAGCTATATCTCGACTCATTTTCGTCTACATGGCTTACTACGAGTTTTGTTCAGCGTTCTAACACGGGCGACAAATTACCTCGTCGAGGATACGGAGAGAGTCGACTAGGAGTCGGATATTCCTATCCCAGGATGGAAGAAGAGGAGGGCGAGGTGTGCCAACGGCGCGACGTGAGCCTTGCTCGAACCTTGCGGACACCGTGTTCGTTTCCCGACCTCTCGACTTCCGGAAAAGTGGTATCACTACCAACCGCCTCGACGAGAGAGATGCAGGAGCAGCAGTTGGAGGCTGCCCACAGAGCAGCTCTCATGAGCTTGCATCCACGGTCGGTCCTAAACCATCGTGTAGAGTTCGGCTTCCGCTCGGCGGATCCCGCTTCTGAAGCGAAGGATGCGATCACTCGATCTTCAAGCGTATACGTAGTTGGGCCCCTGGTCACTAAATTAGCTGAGCTCGACCAACGAATAGCTCTCAGAGCTTGCTTATTGGTACAGCAAGAAGTTCCAATGGATAGGTACCGCGCTCGACATCCCAAAAAGAAGGCGCTCCTGTATCCGCAATGCGGACGATTCCTGTGGTGCTCATCCCTAGCGAAACTGCTGCAGATGATGATAAGCTCTTTGTGCGATGAGTGCAGCGGCACCGGAAACCTTTCTCGCTGTCAAACTTACAGCGGAGCCGCAAAGAGGTGGACGTGCGACCTACGGTTTGAGCTTGCCAAACACAAGCCGCAACGCCGACTTTATTGTCGCCATGCGACATATGGATTAATCCATCACGCTCCCGCGATTTCCGGTCTCTCCCACGGGTGAGTCTGCGATCACAGCAAGTCATGGCCCTCCGGCTTTCCCGGCTACTGCCGAGAAGCGGGGTGTGTACGACGACGCAGGGTGTCGTGATCCCTCTGATTATAGGTGTCTAAGACGTTTTGGCAGTCTTGCCGAAGTGACACCTCAAAATCCCACGAGTTCTCACAGTCAGGGCATCCCTGCTACTTTACAAACTACTTGTTTGACCCTGTCGACGACGTCGACCCACAAGGCGCTCCACGTGATAGTAGACACCACCGTTCTAGTCCGGAAGAGTCGACGGTAGACGATGACAATTTGGTCGATTGCCGTTCGGTGACGCGCGATGCTCTACGAGCTCTTGAGGACAAAGTCCGTCACCATCGGTGTCCCTTCTGATTGTCATGCTGAGGTCGCATACCGCTGTTCGGAATACCGCGAGAACTTGTAGACCTTTGTGCACACGCTGCCTCATGTTGAGGACTATCGCGCTCTGTCGAAGGGCTTCTAGCCGTTGGGTAGACGAATGCGTCATTCGTGCGACGGCGGAGCGCCTGGCGCCATTGATAACGGAAATCATTCCACTCCGTGCTCAAACCAGTTGGTTCAGCTTCTGGGTGGTCGAGCGCCTGTTGGCGCCGCCCCGGCGCCAACACTTCCGCGTTTAGTTGCGCAGACCGCGGTACGACTTAAGCAAGCCCAGGTACGAAACACCGGATGGGTGCGCATCCTTCTCGGAAGAATTAGCGTATTCGCAAGGCCCCGCTTGGTCCGTGGACGGAACTTTGTGTCAAAGACAGCAGAAACTGCATGTGTAGAAAGGTTTTTAGCCTTATAGAAAACCAGGTCTCCGAACTCAAAGTTTTAAACAGTTCTTCTGATTCTTCTGTTTTCATATTTTTTCTGCATTTCTTGGTAGACAGGAATGCACCTACTTCTTTACGAATGGCGAGGGGGCTAACATCAGCAGGTCGCTCGGCTAACCCCCCCCCAAGCCCTGAGCCATGGGGATGGCGGCGTCAGCGGGACGTGAGGATAAACGAGCCTGTTCATGTAGAACGGCGTGTAGCCGGTAGACGCATGCACTGCAGTATTCAGAGCGAATCCACAAGTGGCAGCATGGCGCTCCAGCGGCTCAGAGCCTCAGCGCACACTGCGAAAGACGTCTTCAGTAACGCGATTCACGCGCTCAGTTTGACCATCGGTCTATGGATGGTCGGCTTTGACATACTTAACTTGGTGCCAAGCACACTGAAGAGTGTAGACCAAAACTTCCCAGTGAAGCTTTGGTCCCTGTCAACGACAATTGACTCCGGG